GCGATGCCAATCAACATCGAATCAGGAGCAGGGGGGGCGTGTCGAAGTCGCGCCGGAACGCTGGTCTTGCGGGCGGTGCAGGATTCTGTCCATCAACCGTCCTGCTTGCGCAGAGTACAAAACTGCGTAAACAGACACTTTCGAAGGTCCGCGCGGATTTCTTCGATCGGCGGTGAGACCCCCTGGCAGCGCCTCCAGCGCCACCCTTGGCGCGCTCCGTGCGCCAGGGAGAGGGGGTCCAGGGGTGCCGATCCAAGAAGGCCGCGCGCAGCCCTGAAAGTGGAGGTTTCTGCAGTTTTTTCTCTTCTCTATCCTCGTCGCTCCTCCCCTCAGCCCTCCTGTATACCCTGACCGTGCTAGCGTCCGACTTTCTATCAGCAGGGAAAGAAACACACGGACACAATTAATCGTCGACTCCCAGGAAAATATGGGAAAATATGGGAATTGGGCGGGAAGACAAAAATTTAGAACATATAGAAAAATATGGGGAATCATGTTATTTGTGTGTATTTATTTGTGTGTCCTTGGGCCCCTTGATTCTAGCGAACCGCCGCCTCCTCCCGGGCTGGCGGTTGCGACAAGCCCCTCTGCCAGAATTTGGGGGGGGCGGCCCGTATTTTGTCTGCTCTATTTCCAGCCCCTGCCCGACCGACCTCGTTGGGCAGCGGGCGTTCGCTGCTTGAGAGCGCGCGCCGCAAAGCGGCGGCGTCGACGAGCGGAGGATGGTGTCGGTGTTGCAGGTCAGGCTGGTCAGCGGCGCGATTTGCCCAGCTTGGCTGCTGAGTCGCGATCCCGCCAGTGTTCATCGTCAGATACAGCCAGCCCTCACACTAGGGATGGGCAGCCTTCCCAAGGGTACCCTTGCGTCCTTGCCTCCTCGGCCCATCCTTGGCCACTTCCGTTGGCCGCGCCCCGCTCGGAAAGCTTCGAAACGGCCTTCCGAGGCCCTTGCATCCTCATCGTGCATCCTTCCGGTACGGGTCGACTGTCGACGTTGGCAGTTTCCGTGCTTCGACGAGCGGCGCGCTCAGCCGCCGCCCAGCGCCGCGGGCTTGTCAGAAGCTCGGCCCCGTGCTGCCGCGCCGTGCCTCCTCGCCCTCCGGCGTCTCTTCCTCCTCGCGCTCCAGCCGCATCACGTCGTGCAGGCGCATGCTTCGTGCCAACGGCGCAGTCCGCTCATGGTCGCCGTCGGGCGCATGGGCTTATTGGTCCTCGATGCGCATTGGGGGCATCGTTCACACGCTACCCGAAGAGCGCCCACACTCCCCGTACTTTGTGCTGCCGCTGTCCATGTTTCTCGAGTCCTCCTTTGTCCAAGCCTGTCCTGAATCTAACCTACGACTGGTTATGCTGGCAATCCCCATCACGACCACGAGCACGCTGGTGACAGCGATGACACTGCCGATGACGATGACGCCGAGGCCGGTGACGCTGACGCTGACGCGGACGACAACCTCGTCGTCGTCGCTCCTGCTGAACACTTTCAGGAGGGGAAACACACACAGACACAATGATTCGTCGACTCCCAGAAGATGTGCGAAAATCTGGGACGTGAGGGGGGGGGGGAAGACAGAAACCCAGAAAAGATGGGAAACTTTGGGTTTTTTTTTTTCTTTCTGTGCATTTCTTTGTGTGCCCCAGGGCCCCTTCACACCGAGGGGGGCTGCCTCCTCGCCCTCCTCCTCTCCGCGGGCTCGCGAGGCTGCGCGCCGCCGTGCCCCCGCCCTCTCGGCTGCCTGCCGGCGCCGCGCACCGCGGCTTTCCCGCCGTCTCGCGCCCTGTGGCCCGCACGGCCCCCCCCGCGGTGTCCGCGGGCGGAGCGGGCTGGGGCGGCCCGGCGCCTTCGAGGGGCCGACCCTCGAACTCTTCCTGCCCCTTCTCCTCCTCCTCCTCCTCCTCCTCCTGTTTTTCCGTGTGTGTGTGTGTGTGTGTGTGTGTCTGTCTGTGTGTGTGTGTGTCTGTCTGTCTGTGTGTATGTGTGTGTGCGTTTTGCATTTTTTTCTCACCGTCTGTATTCTGAGCCCTCCAGCCGCCAGAGGCCCCGCCCGCCCGCGCTCTGTCTCCCCAATTAGGGCTGCCCGCGTCCCGTTTAGCTCTTGACCGGAAGGGGCCCGCTTCCTTTAGGGCGAAGAGAGCTATGCACCTGCACCGATCCTGGTAAGGCCCATCCTTGACCCAGGATCGGCGCACATGCCTTCCTTGCCAAGGTAGGAGGGCGTATGCACCGATCCTGGGCTCAGGATGGGCCTGGCCAGAATCGGTGTATGTGCATAGTTCTCTTTCCTCTATTCCTTGGCACTCGTACCATTCCCCTTGCCGTTCCTCTCCGTTCTCTCCAGCTCCTTTTCTCCTAGAGCGAGGTCTGGCGACCCCACTTCTCTGACCTTTTTGGCAAGCTTTTGCACGTGGCAACCTTCGAGGCCTAATTCAGGGACATGCGACTGGGGCGTGCAGGGGTTGCGGGTCAGAGGCCTCTGGAATGCCTGCGGGGATCTCGTGGGAGGCCTCTCCGAAGCCCCGTGGATTCGGTTTTTTGGTTCCCTGGGGGGCCTCTCGGGGGTCCCCTGGGGGCCTCTCCGCGGGCGGAGGGGGCCAAACGGCCCAGCGACGGGTGGCGATGTGTGCACGGTCGGGTCGGGGAGGCCTCCCCCGCAAAGCTGGCACGGTTTCTTGAGCACGTCCCCCCCTTCCAGCGCTAACCAGATGTTTGTTTTCATGGACTCCCCGAGAGCTGGCCCAGCTTCTCCATTCCAGAGTACTCGGGATGAACGTTTTGGCTGCATACAGTGCCGTTTTCAACACATGCTCCGCGTGCGGATCATGTATTAAACATGCAGGGAGTCAGTGCTAAAAACAAAGATGAGTCCATGCATGCATTTATTCATAGATCGATCATGTATGAAAATTCATATATGTCGAAATCCTATGTATTAAAAGCTGCCCTGTATCATCCCCCACCTGACAGGTCGAGGCCGTTTGATTTGATGTGAAGCAAAGGGCTCAGGAGGGGAAAAAACACACAGACACAATTAATCGTCGATCCCCCAGGAAATATGGGAAACTATGGGAAGTGGGCGGGGGACAAAAACCCAGATAATATGGGAGAATATGGGGAATCTTTTGATTTGTGTGTATTTATTTGTGTGTCCCAGGGCCCCTTCAGTTTTGGCTGCATACGCGCGCGGTGCCGCGCGCGTATGCCAAAGCCCTTCGACACCCAACGGTTTCGGAAGGATTTCGAAATCGCGTGTCCAAAAAACTTACAAAAGACGCAAGGTTTCGCAGCACGGATTTCCAACAAAAGCGTGCGCGCGCGCTCTTGCGTCGTCGTCGTCGTCGCCGTCCTCCCTCCTCCCGCGTCGTCGTCGTCACCTCCGTCGTCCTCTGTCTTTCCTTGTGGTCGTCGTCGTCGTCCTCTTTGGCGTCGTGGTCGTTTCCGTCGTCGTTGTCGCCGTGGTCGTCCTTCCTCCTCCTCCCTCGTCGTCGTCGTCGTCGTCGTCGTCCGTCGTCTGCGTCTCGTCGTCGTCCCTCCTATTTCGTCGCCGTCGTCGTCGTCGTCGTCATCGTCGTTATCGTCGTCGTCGTCTTCCCTCCTCCCTCGTCGTTGTCGTCGTCGGCGTCGCCGTCCTTCCTCCTCTTTCGTCGTTCGCGTCGTCGCCGTCCTCCCTCCTCCTTCGTCGTTGTCGTCATTGTCGTCGGCGTCGCCGTCATCGTCCTCCCTCCTCCCTCGTCGTCGTCTTCGTTGGCGACGTCGTCGTCTTCGTCGTCGTCGTCGTCGGCGTCGGCGTCGTCGTCTTCGTCGTCGTCAACATCGGCGTCGTCGCCGTCGCCGTCGTCGTCGTCGTCGTCGTCGTCGTCGTCGTCGGCGTCGGCGTCGTTGACGTCGTCGTCGTCGTCGTCGTCGTCGTCGTCGGTGTCGTCGTTGTCGTCTTCGTATGCGTCGTCATCGTCGTCGTCGTTGTCATCGTCGTCGTCGTCGTCGGCGTCGGCGTCGTCGTCGTCGGTGTCGTCGTCGTCGTCGTCGTTGTCGGCGTCGTCGAAGTCGTTGGAGACGTCGTCGGTGTCGTCGAAGTCATTGTCGGCGGCGTCGCCGTCCTTCCTCCTTCTTCGTCGTTCGCGTCGTCGCCGTCCTCCCTCCTCCCTCGTCGTTGTCGTCATTGTCGTCGTTGTCGCCGTCATCGTCCTCCCTCCTCCCTCCTCCCTCCTCGTCTTCGTTGGCGACGTCGTCGTCGTCTTCGTCGTCGTCACTGGCGTCGGCGTCGTCGTCTTCGTCGTCGTCAACATCGGCGTCGTCGTCGTCGCCGCCGTCGTCGTCGTCGTCGCCGTCGTCGTCGTCGTTGTCATCGTCGTCATCGTCGTCGGCGTCGGCGTCGTCGTCGTCGTCGGTGTCGTCGTCGTCGTCGTTGTCGGCGTCGTCGAAGTCGTTGGAGACGTCGTCGGTGTCGTCGTAGTCGTTGTCGGCAGCGTCGTCGTCGTCGTTGTCGCTGTCGTCGTCGGCGTCGCTGTCGTTGCCAAGTACCATTTGGTACCCACCGTCACGGTCTTAAGAGATGTTGCAAACCAAGTTGCGGGTGGGTGGGTGGGATGTTTGCGCGAGCAGTGGAGGAGGTCAAACGCGGTGCAGGGTAGTCAATTGCACCACATAGATTGCTGCAGGTCGATTGCTCCACGTTGGTTGTTCCACATCGACATCCGGAAACACACCGTTTGCTGTCCACGCTGGTGGACATCAAACGCAACACAATTGATGTGATACTCCGGGAGAAAGGGTTCCGATTGCTTTCCCATTCAGTATTCACTTACCGCTCGTGCAAACAATTGACATCGGTTGATCGATTGTGGGGGAATGTTGTGACGACAGCTCGCTTCCCTCCAACTGGTCTTTTTCAACGCTTGTGAAATGGGAAGATCACACTTTGCCCCTGCCCGCTAGCCTCCATTGTGTCTACGGGGCGCGCAGGCGATGCACTCCCTCCGTTTTGATTTCCATTCGCTTCCCCCAAGCCATTTTGGTTCAAGCGGCTCAGTGCCCTTGAAGGCGCCGTGGCCGCTCGAGGGGGGTAAAAGAGGGCAGCGGCGCCGCGAAAGGACAGCATGTGCGGAGGAAAGTGCGGCCTCTTTTGCTTGGGCGTCGTGCTGATCCCCGTGGCGGTGATCGCGGCCGTCATGCTAGAGACACCCGAGGTGCTACTGGAGAAAGACATGCCCAGCCTGGAGGCCATCGAGGCGGTGATGGCCGCGAAGCCCCGGATCCCCAAGCGGGCGGCCCCGAAGAGCGCGGCGTCCAAGGGGCCCCGGCTCGGTTCGGGGGGCATGTTCGACAAAATCGCCTCCGTCTACGACAAGACGAACAAGTGGATGTCGCTCGGTCTCGACCAGCACTGGCGACAGACCTTGGTCCAGGAGTGCATGAGCCTCAGCAAGGACGACCGGGTGCTTGATCTCGCGACGGGCACCGCTGACGTTTCGCTGCTGGTGGCGGCGCGCCTTGCCCAGCTCAGCGACCTCAAGGGCGGCGTCTCGGCGGGCGCGGTGCTCGGGGTCGACCCCAGCACCGAGATGCTGCGCCGAGGGGTGGAGAAGGTCGACGAGCGCGTCATGACCGGCATCGTGCACCTTGTGAAAGGCGACGCGCAGAACTTGTCTACGATCCAGGCGATAGACGCGCAGGGCCGGCTCTCGAAGCCGAGCGAGGGCGTCGCCACCGGCAGCATCGACAAGATCTCCATGTCGTTCGGGATACGGAACGTGCCAGACCGCGCGAAGGCGCTGCGTGAGATGCGGCGTGCCTTGCGCAGCAGGGAGTCCAGCCGGGTCTGCATACTCGAGTTCTCGCTGCCCTCTGGGCAGAGCTTGCTATCCCTCATCGCCAAGGGGTTCATCACCCACGTGGTGCCCTTCATAGGCTGGCTGGCGACCCAGGGCTCCGGCAGCGAGGAGTACGAGTACCTGGAGCGCTCCATCCTCGACTTCCCGCAGCCCCTGGAGTTCGCTGCGGAGATGGGGCGCGAGGGGCTGCGGGTGCAGAGCATCACCAGCTTCGCCTTCGGCGCGGTCCACCTCTACACCGCGGAGCCCGCCACCGACACGCTGCGGGTCTCCACGGCGTACACGGAGCCAAAGTGGTGAGGCGCCCGGCGGCGCCCCGCCTCCGCAGCTCCTGCTCTCCACCCCCCCCGCGATCGGCAGCAACTCACGGGAGCCCTGTATCGAAGACGCTTACTGCGAATCACCGCCGCCCCCTGCCTGTTGGAGTCGCCCATGTGGCCGAGCGCTGTGGCAGGAGCTCTGCCAAGATATCGGACCATGTGTTCCCCCAGCCGTTGTTGGAACCCTTCGGGGAACATTTGGGGGAGGATGCTGAGGAAGATCAGGAGGAGGAGGAGGAGGACGGGGCATCTTGGGAGCCTCTGGGGGTACCGATGGGGCCTCCTGGGAGCTTCCTGGGAGCCTCTTGAAGGCATCTTGGGGGCCACCTTGGGCGTCTTGGGCTCCTTTGGGGGCTTCTCGGATGCCTCTTTAGCTGTCTTCGGGCAGTCCTGACCCGTCTGACGCCGTCGGAAACCGTCTTGGGCGCCTCTCTGGGCCGACTCGGGCCCTCCTGGGGTGCTCCAGAGCCGCCTGGAAGGCCACCTAGGGCGTGTGGAGGCCTCTTGGGCCGTCTTTGGGCCATCTTGGGGCCGTTTTGGGAGCCTGTTGGGCCGTTTTGTGGCATCTTGGAGGCCTCTTGGGCGATCTTAGGGCGATCTTTCTTTGGGAGCTCTTGGGCCGCCTCGGGCCGTCGGAAGGCCGAACAGGAGCAAATGTCAAAATCCTCTTGGGGGCCACCTTGGGCCTCGTGGGCCGTTTAGGGCCATCTTCGAGCCATCTCGGGTCGTCTTGATGGCCTCCTGGCCCGTCTGACGCAGTCGGAAGCCGTCTTGGGGGCCTCTCTGGGCCGACTTGGGGCACTCGTGGGGTGCTCCAGGGCCGTCTTGAAGGCCATCCAAGGCGTGTTGGAGGCATCCTGGGCCCTCTTGGGGCCGTCTTGGGGGCCTCTTTGGCCGTTCTGGGGCCACCTTGGAGGCCTCTTGGTAGATTTTTGAGGATTCTTGGGCCGTCTCGGGCCGTCGGAGGGCCGAAAAGAAGAGACTACTAAAATCCTTCACCAACCGAAGGAACATCAATGAGTTTGGCATGTTCGGGCCTTCCTGGGGGGCCCTCTTGGAGGCCTCTTGGGCCGTCTTGGAGACATCTTGGGGGCCTCTTGGGCAATCTTCGAGCCATCTTGGGCCGCCGTGATGCCCTCCTGGCCCGTCTGACGCCGTGGAAAGCCTCTCGGGGTGCTCCAGGGCTGTCTTGAAGGCCATCTGGGGCATGTTGAAGGCCCCTTGGGCCGGCTTGCGGCCCTCTTTGGGCCACCTTGGGGGCCTCTTGGGCTGTTCTGAGGCCATCTAGAGCTGGAACCAAAAAACGATTCGTACTCTGCTATTTTTTCTGAGATAATGATAGGTTTCTCTGCTTCATTCGAGCTGTAGGCTGGAGGCCTCTGGGGCGATCTTGGGGCGATCTCGGGGGGTCCGTGGTTGCCTCGGGGCCGTTGGAAGGCCGAAGAGAAGCAGATGTCAACATCATCCAAAGACTTAGGCTCGGCATCGCTCGAACGTGTGCATTTTTCCTTTGGCGAGGACCATCGAGGAGCATCCTTGATCATTTGGCGAAAAAGCCACGCACGACACCTAAAAAAAACACACGGAATGGACGTCCGAGCGATGGCCAGAAGGAGCCTCAATGATGTTGGCCTCTTCGGGCCTTCCTGGAGGGCCTCTGGGAGGGCTCGTGGGCCGTCCTGGAGGCCTCTTGGGCCGTCTTCGGAGGCCTTTTGGTGGCCTTTTGGGGGCCTCTGGGGCCGTCTTGGGGGTTTCTTGGGTGGACTTCGAGGCATCTTGGACTCGCTCGGACCGTCTTGGAGGCCATCTTGGACCATCTTGGGCGAACTTGGAGGCCATCTTGGCCGTCTTGGAGGCCATCGTGGACCATCTTGGAGCCATCTCGACCATGCAAAAACTTTGGAACCACCTGGCGAGCAGCCTTCCGCGTGACCGGCGGGGCGGGATGGACCGAAGCCCCAGGGGAGGGTTTCTTTTGTAACAAGAGCCCAAACCAAACCGTAGGAAGTTCAGCACGCCAGGCACCCCTGTGGCAAGTCAACATGGGGCGGTGGATCTAGTGGCCTTCAGCCCATCCCGCCACGGTGCCTCGGTTGTGGGTTAGATGCCTCTTGGATGTTCTTTTGGATATCGCCGATATCCCGGGAGGCCTCTCGGCGGTCTTTCGGAGGCAGTTTTGAGGCGTCTTGGGGGCCGTTTGAGGGACTCTTGGGGCCTCTTTTTGGGCCTCCTGGGGCCGCCCACGGCAGCAACTCGTTGGGAGCCCTGCGCATGTCCTCGACATTCCGTTGATGGAGCGCGCCCGATGTCCGTGAGAGAGCGCCGACTCGGCGCCGATCCGTTGCGTTTTGGCCCCGACGCGCGCCGACTCGCGCGGGGCAGAGCTGCTGGCGCACTATTACTACTACTACTACTACTACTACTACTACTACTACTGCTGCTGCTGCTGCTGCTGCTGCTGCTGCTACTACTACTACTACTACTACTACTACTACTACTACTACTACTACTACTACTAAGCCTTGCGTCCGTCTGGTCGTGTGGGCAGACACGCCAAATGCGTGCAAGAGCGCGGGAGAGCTGACGCTCCAAACCGCCAAGGAGAACACGAGACACGCCAAACGCGTGTCGGCACAGGAGGGAGGGGGAAGGCGGGAGCTGCTGGCGCAGGAGCCGGCAATATGGCATGGGAGGCTCCCGCGAGCTGCCACCGAGCCCCGCTCCCCGCGCACGCCTCCTTCCGGCCACGCGCAGAAGGGGGGTAGGAGGGCTCATTTCGATTCCTGCGATTCGATTCGATTCGACTTCGATGGCTTCCGATTCAGATTCGATTCGACTTGGGATTCCGATTTGGGTTCCGATTTCTCAATTGAGGCCTACTAGCCTGCCGATGTCCGCCGATTCGACTTTTCTCGACTTGGCTGCCGATTTCCGCCGATCCGATTCATTTCGATCGCCGATCCGACTTATCGATTCGATTACGCGCCCCCGAGAGAGGCCCTCCCGAGAGAGGCCCTCCCCCCTCCCCCCTCCCCCTCCTTCCACCCCCCCCCTCCCCCTCCTCCTCCTCCTCCTCCTCCGCCTCCTCCTCCTCCTCCTCCTCCTCCTCCTCCTCCTCCTCCTCCTCCTCCTCCTCTTCCTCCTCCGCCTCCTTTCCAAGAGGCCCTCCCCCCCTCCCCCTTCCCCCCCCCCCCCTTGGCCCCCCCCCCCTGGTGCGCGCCGCCACTCTCCGCCAACCACGGCTGCACGCTGCGGCCCTCCCGCGGAGGGCGGCCCGCGCCCCGCGCCTCTCGGGCGCCTTTTCCAGGCGGCGCCTCGGAGCAGAGGCCCCCGCCGGCCTCTCTGCCAGACCCTGCCCGCCCTGATCCCGCGCCCAGCCCTCTGCTGCTCTGCGCCGGCTGCTCGCCCCCCCCCCCCCCGCGGTCGGAGGAGGAGGAGCACAGGCACGGGGCCTTGGCATCGCTCGGACGTGTGCATTTTTTCTCGGCGAGGAACATGGAGGAGATTGCTGGATGACGAAGCGAAAAATCACACGCACGAGATCGAAAAATACACGAGGAATGGACGTCCGAGCACAGGCACGGTGCTCGTTCCGAGTTTCCTTTCCGATGCGACTGGCTTCGAGTTTGGGGGGCTGCCGCTGCCGACCCGATGCGCCTCCGGAATCCCATCCGGACCCTCTCTATGGAGGCCTACTGGCCTGCCGATGTCCGCCGGTTCGGCTTCTCCCGACTCGGCTGCCGACGTCTGGCGATCCGATTCATTTCGATCGGCGATCCGATCTACCGATTCGATTCTGGGCTCTCCTGCAGGCGCCGACATACAGTGGAGACCCATGCCAAGAGACACCCTGCTTGCCTCCAGGGTGCCCTGGGTTGCTCGGGTTTCGACGGTTCTGCGATGGAAGGCGTGACGTCCCCACACCAACAGTCCATGGACGCCCTGGGGTCTCGGGGTTGGGTTTCCTGTGGCAGGTTCTTTGTGGTCGAGCCCCTACTGTGCACCCTGCTGGGGGGGAGGGGCCCAATCTCGGCGGCGAGCCCTGGGGAAGCACAGGCGGAGCACAGGATTGAGGAGAGGCATACCCGGTAAGCATATACGCACTGCTAGCGCCGCTCGTCCCCGAGTCCCCTCGCCACCGTGGCTGGATGCTTTGTGAGCGTAAGAGTGTCCCTTCGCCAGAGTGACCTTTGGTGCGGGCCTATTGGGCCCGGAGGTTGATAGACCTCCTACCCTGACACGTACATTAGCGAATTGGCCGTTTTCGGTTCGCATGAGGACGGTGCGGCCGTCATTTTTGCCGGTCCAGGTCCGTCGGTTTCCGTCTCAGGCCGTTTTCACGAAAGGGTAGCTTACTGAAGGGAGGTTTGTCCACCGCCGATGGGTCCCCCATATCGCCGAGCGCGATGCGACAGCAGCGTCTTGCGCGCTCGTGTTTGGTGCCCCCGCGGCCCCCAGAGAACCGCGCCCCAGAGGTCACCTTTTGCTCGGGGCCACTCTTGCGCGTGGCCGAATACTGGGGGAGGTCCACGGAGTACCGGTATCCGTACCTGTTGGTTTCTCGGCGGCGCCGCGCCCAGGGGGGGGGGAAGGGAGAGGGGCAGGCCTTCTCAGGAGGCGGCGGGGGTTCTCAGGAGCCTTGCAGTCTCCTGAGGAGTTGTTGGTGTGTTCGGTGAAGGCTCAGAAATCTTCTCAGAAGGCTCGAGGCCATCCGAGCCTTCTTAGAAGGCCCGCCCCTTCTCACTTCCCCGCTGGGCTCGGCGCGGACAAACGTTGTGGTTAGCACGCGGTGTGGTGAATCAGCGGGGAGTTGGGGTCACCGCACGAATTTGGGGCTTGGGTCGTTTTCCGAGGACGTTCTGGGCGGAGGCCTCCAGGGTCCCAAAACCGTGCGGCGACGGACCGTGCGGTAAGGTCTCTTGAGATCCCGAGTCGCCGCACGGACTGTCACCGCTCGGTTTTGGGACCCCCAAAGTTGATCATGTTGTTTCGAGTTTCATCTTGTCGTCGCTCCTTACTCTCACGTTACTACGCCGCTCCTTTTTAATCTTACATTTTCGCGAAGTCATGTCTGCAATCAATGTCTTCATCGGGTGCGGTTGGCGACGCGCGCGTGCCAGGCATTCCTGTCAGGCAGTTGTTCAAGGGCGGCAGTTTTCCAGCTGCCTCACCACGATCGCCGCGCGCGTCAGCTGGGAGAGCGAAGCAGCACCGAATGATACATAGTCCGCTACCCGAAAATGGACGGGCTGGATGCTGCCGTGAACGACGATGCATCACAACTCCAAGTTCCAAGCCCGTTCGCTCGACGCCGATGGCCAACCGCTCACCACCGACGTGCTCTGCAGTGGACTCCGAGACGCCGCGACAGACGCGCAGTCAAAGAGCACGGAGCCTCACGAGCGGGCTGCGGGCCCGCCGTCCTCCCTGTGGGGAGACCGGCCTTGGGGCTCGCGCAAACCCTGTCGGGGATGCTCTGGAGGCTCGGGCCGCCGCGCGGGCGCCTGCGCTGGGACCGACACCGGCAAGGATAGGTGAAGGGGCTCCAGGACACACAAGTAAATACACACACAAATGCAATGATTCCCTATATTTCGTCCCAACTTCCCATATTTTCCCATGTTTTCCTTGAAGTGGACGACTAATTGTGTCTGTGTGTTTTTTCCTCTCCTGAATAGGGTCTAAGGCACGCGCCGAGACCAGGATGCGCTCGAAGCTGCAGGTCTCCTAAAGTCAGATTCGGCAATTCAGGCACCAAAGAGCTCCTCCTCCTCCTCCTCCTCCTCCTCTTCCTCCTCCCCCTCCTCCTCCTCCTCCTCCTCCTCCTCCTCGAAGCTGCAGGCCCCCACCGACACAGAGACCAACAGGACAACCGCTGCTATGTGTGTGGGCAGCCTCGGTGGCCTTCACACCTTCAGCGCCGCGGCTGCATGGGTGCAGGGCCAGCTCGCGAACCTTGCAGGCCCGGCTCCACATAAGATGTACGCCAACGGCGACACGAACTACAACTTGCACGCTGAGTTCGGGAGCGCGCTGGACCGCGACACGGCTGCAGCTCTTATCTCGACACAATGGACACCATGTTGGGCCTTCCTCAGGTCGACGCCCAACTGACCGTGCAGCGAGACATTCCTGTTCGGGGCTCAAGTACACGTTGGAGGATCACATGAGCATGGAGTACGTCATAAAAGTGAGTGACGACATGCCGTAACAGGTCCACGTAGTAGGCGAATTAGAATTAACAGTGGCAACAGCAGACACACATTTGGAGCGGGATGGTAAAACAAATGGGGCGGTTGGGAAGATCCGCAGCAGCACGAGCAGCTCAAACAGCTGACAGCCAAATGTGACGATTTGGTAAGCCGAACTTCGTCGGGAATGCGGGGAAGCCCTACAGGGATGTATACAGGAGGTGGGGGCTTCTGGGAAATACGGCAGGTGCCGATCGAAACCCGCATTTGCGCCGACGCCGCCACACCTACAGCACCGCCGACGACGATGTCAATAGTGGGCAACATACCAGCTTGCCACAACAACCTCAAGAAGTTTACCAGCCCCTCCATGGACGACCCCTCTGCAAGGGGAATTATACCACTTGCAGCAGGCAGGGGCAACAATACCAGGTCTCAGCATCAATGTTGCACCTCATATGTTTGTTTGTCCTTCTCTGCACCCTGCCCAATTTCTGTTTCGACTCTTCCTCTGCCGACTTCTCCGCCGACCCCAACATGCACAGCGTCAGGCACGCCGACCAGATCTTCTTCTGCAGGCCTTTCGTGGCTAAGGACACGGCGACGATGCATTGTGATCTGTCTCGAACGCCTTGGCATTTGCAATGTGGAAGGGCTCGGGGGGGACTCGCGCATCGAGTTAACCAAACTTTACTTGTCAATGCTTCGACATTCTACTGATACGTGTACAGGATACATAGGTCCATGTAGCCGAGCACTTCGAAGACAACGGTTTCTCGTTGTTTTTATCCAGGGAGCTTTACCCAGAGCGATGTTCAGTCGCAGGAGTTTGTTTTATTGTTGCCCCGTGGGCAAGCGGCGCCATCGTTGCTTTCCGGGCGTTTTCTTCGAGACTCGTTGTGTTCAGGGCCCGAGTGCAACATCCGAGCTGCCGGAAGCTTCGCGGCCCGCGACACCATGCAGCACAGCTTTGGCACTGGGAGGTTGAAGGGCGAAGTCATTGCGGCAACGCTATGGAGAAGACTTGTACGGCGGTCAACATGCATATACTTCCGTTGAATGTTTGGCGGCGGCCCGCAAGATGTGGAATAGGAACCTGTTTCTCGAATTATGTATCGCCGCTGACGTGTCCACCGTAAACACTTTCTTCGATACACCCGCCAGTTTTCGCATCGCGTGCAAAAGCTGTGGCGCGATTATCATTGACGCGGGCATCACGCCGGATAAGTTTTCCCAAATCGACCATGTGTAACGTCATGTGTCAGTTCTCCTTGGGGCCGCACATTGCAAGGCGCATCGGGCAGAGGCATTGCGCAGCCAACATTGATTGACCACGATGGATTTAGCTTCGCAGTTTGACACAACAGCTCAATGCCGCAGGCGTCGGTCTGATCTTTCGTCTGTCGTTTGTGTATTTCGCATCCATTGTGCGCGACGCATGAGAAGCAATGCCAGCATTGCGCAGTACGTTGGGCGAGTTGGCCAATCGTGATCAACATATTTGTGCCGATGCGTTTCCCATGCGTTTTCCACCTTGCGGACCGCGCAACCGCCGTCCAACAACCCGTGGATACCTCGACTTACCTTGTAAATTATCGGACAGCGAAGCTCCGCGAGACAGTCCAGCGACGCTGACCGCGAGCAGACATCGAACAAGTTGCTTCAAAAGAGTAGGTGGGCCGATTGAACGATATGGATAAGTACTGCTCTTCTTTGCGGTCGTTGGACGCCTTCCAAACACTGCGGAAGAAGCTTCAAGCGAGGCGCGCTGGAGTCCGTGACCTCAACCAATAATGCATTGATGCTGTTGGTCGCCAAGACGCTTCGGCGAACGTGTATCGAAAGCGGCGCATTTCGCGAGACTAACTCCTACTGCCATTGCTGCGCTTGGTGCAGATCTTCTCGTTCGAAACAGGAACCTTACAATGGCAGAATTGCAGTTTGGCTTACAACGAATGAAGAAAAGGCAGAGCGGTTGGGCCGGGCGACGTGCCGCCGGATTTTTGGAAAGACGTAGCCCGACGCACGCATGCGCGCGAAGCGTTGTTATAATTATGTTGTTAGTGTTAGGGCGACAAGGACACGCCGAGCGCGCGTCGGAAGGCCAGCGTTGCATCAGTGTTCGCCAAGAAGTAGCAACGCGGAACCACCTAAAATGTGTTGGACACAAGACCTTAGCGGCAATGCTGCACCAGCGAGTTCTTCGAGAAAGGGCTGAAGAACGATTGCGCAACTCACGATATGGCGATCGCTCCGCCTATCTTTTCGAAGGTGTCTAATGCAGCCGTATTGGAGATGTCGGAGTCCAGGCTTCTGTTCGCAATTCTGCGTGACAACCAAGTGCAACTGCTTTGAGCCACTGGTTTGCAGAGCGACTCTTTACTGTTGCATGTGCAATGAGAATGGCGACCCTGGAGATTGGGTCCCGAAGCGTGGAGGCCGGGGTCGTCCGAGACACTGGTGGGCACAGGGCGTGTGTCTTCTGGTGCGCCAGCTGATTTAGTCCGCCCCCCCTCCTTCTGCCTGGTTCTTCCGTTCCCTCTCCCCCTCTTCGCCCTCTTTCTTCTTCCTGTGACCTGCCTGGGTCTGTAGTCTCATTACGTTTATTGGCTGATTTGTTGTTTCTGGCCACCAGCGGGCAATCTTGCCCACACGTCTGCTTGACGCCAGACAGTCAGTCCAATGTGTCTCGGTTTGGCCGTTGTGTGCTCTTGTGATGCCCCCGTCACCACCAGTGGATTCGTCTCGACATTTTTGTCAAATTGCATTCTCGGAGAGGTTGCGGGAATCGCGGAATCGGTATCATCGGTAATCTGTTGTTTCCGATCTCCGCCTCCGTCCGCCCCAATTTTTTTTTTTTTGCCCAGCCTTCTCGTCATATGTAGGTGCCGATCTTAAGGCTTCCCGGAACTGATGGTTGTTGCGAGCACATTCCCAATATTGCCCGCGCTTCGGTTTTGCCAACCTTAAAGGTTGTAGAGGTTCGAGGCGGAATATTCCGCTTGCGCCCTTGTCGTGTTCCCCCTTGTGCCTTGCGTATTCCTATTCCATGCGTGTTCCTTGTTTCCCGTTTTCCGTCCCTTCCCCTCCCCCTTGGTCCCCTCTTCCCCCACCATACCGCACCTCATCCGTCACTTTACATTTTCGTGGAACGTTGCTTGTACTGTAAATGGCCATATGTTCTTGTATTCCGACGTGGGCCCGATGCGAAGCTAATTTGATACGGATTCGGTCTATAGGTGTAAATTTATTGCGGAGTCGACGGTGATCCGTCGCGGATTCGGCGCGTTCAACATGGATTCGCCGCGGACCGCGGCGCGACGGGACAGGCTTGGCCCCCCGAAGATGCAACAATAACGTTTTCTTCCTCCTCGTCGTCGCCCTCCTCCTCCACCTCCGCCTTCTTGCCGCTTCCTCGCCGCCTCCGCCTGCCCCCGAAGATGCAACACGACCTCCACCTCCACCCCGATCCCGCCCCCTGCAGCGCGGCATCCGCGTGGCACGCTCTTCGGCGCTGACGTCCAGGCTGAGGGCACCCCCGGGCGCTCGGCCTCGCCGACGGCGCCCCGCGAGCGCCCCGGCGCGCGCGGCTCGGCCTTCAGACGAGGGTTCGCGAGGACGACCGCTGGTCGGGACCCCCTGCGAGACCGAGAAAGAGAGTGGGAGGGGACGACGACGACGTTGACGACGACGCCGACGACGTCGACGAGGTTGAGGACGAGGACGAGGACGAGGACGAGGTCGAGGACGCGGACGCAAACGAGGCGAGGGCTGGCTGGCCGCGCGGAGGCAGACCGTTGGCCCAGCAGCAGGGGGGCGTCCAGCTTGGCAAGAGGAGGCGGCAGGGGGGCCAGGACATGGAGGGGGAGGAGGAGGAGGAGGAGGAGGAGGAGGAGGAGGAGGAGGCGGAGGAGGCGGAGAGGAGGAAAGGAGGCGGAGGAGGAGGGGGAGGAGGAGGAATAATAATAAGAAAAAAGAAGGATAATAACAAGAACAAGAAGAAGGAAATGAAGAGGAGGAGGATGGGAGGAGGAGGAGGAGGAGGG